TATGCGTCCGCGGCGCGCCGCATGCACCCGCATACCCCCGATTACAAGGTGACTGGAGTTCAGACGTGTGCCCCCCCCCCCCCCCCCCACCGACGCTCCCCAAGTGGGCCAGCGCGCCCGGGTCGCCGGGCCCACGCGCGACTCCCCCCCCTGGCCCCTCGAGCTCATTATTGGTGATTGGCCCCCCACGCGGGGGCGCGCACACCCAGGCGAGCGCTTCCCCTCCCCCTGGCCCCGCAGCAGGGGGGGTGGGGACCGGCCCCTCCACACGCGGGCGGCTCGTCCGGTCATGCTGGGCGACGATTGCCCAGCCGCACAGACCGACAGAATACGAGCTGGCCCCGGGCCCACGCGAGTGTGGGAGGCACTGCGCACGAGGCAGGAACCAACAGGTGCGTGTGTGTGTGTGTGGGGTGGGGGGGGGGGTGACATCCGTGTCTCGGCCCCGCCCCCGTACTCCAAGCTGGGCACCTCAAAAGGCGCGTGGTTCGTGCAATCCAAACGCCTCCCCCGGCACATGTGCTGTCCGGGAGACGGGCCAGGGGGCGGGCCGGACCGTTCTTGCATCCCCGGTTGGCGGTGCTCAAGTGGCAGGACGTGTATGCCTGCTTTTTAAATTCGAGTTTAAAATAGGCTCTCACCGAAGATGCCCCTAGGGCAATCAGAAGACAAGGGTCGTCACACCCGGGGAATCACGCCGCATGCCACACACAGAGTGCATTCCAGGCGAAACGCCATTTACGCACATGGAGGGTTTTTGCGATCTCTCCTCGGGCTCCGTCGCCTGGTGGAGGAATGAGGAGCCGCACTATTCCCCGCGACGAGCCTGCGCCCACCCCCGTCCCTGAGCATCCGTCGAAGGGTTTTCTTGCCAACCCTCCGCCACTCCGGCACCGATCCAACTGGCGCCTCACCTTCCACCGTCTCTCTCTCTCTCCCTTGCCCTCGTCCCGGCCCCCTGTATCCCCGCCATGCTCTCTTTTGTCTTGCTTGGTCCGGGCCCAGGCGGCAGAGTGTGCTATTCAACGGAGCCAACAGGCGATGGGGAATATTCTAGCCGCACAGATCAGGATGCTCGGGGTGGTTCCCCCCCCCCCCCGGCTGGCCGCGTTTCCTTGCCTCTGCCGCGGGAGGAGGAACGGCGGGGGGGCGGCAGTCTCACTGGCCAGAGCGTCGTCACCCGTTTTCCTCGGGGCCCGGCCGTGTAACGCGCCCGGGCAGGCTGCCCGCCCACCATCCCTCGGCCGGGGGCTGGAGAGCTTGCC